ATGGAAATCTACACTCATGTACTGTATGTAGCAAGACATTATATGATGCCAGAGGGAAAATGAAGACAGGGTGCTGGAGAAGCATGTACCTCTCAGCATTTGCATCCTTCAAACAGAGCTGGGAATGAAGCCACTACTGATGAGGAAAATATCTGAGCGAGCAGAAGACCTTGTCATTTTCAGGTTAACTTATGAATTTTAAATGAGGGCCTTGTGTTTTTTCTTTCCCCCTCCCTTTTACAAGTCGATTCTGACACAAGTGGGTCAGTGCATGGCTTTGATACCTCAGTGTATTAGATAGCGCTGAGTAACCTGCCACTTGGTTTCCTCGCAAGTCTGAGATCCTACAGCTTCTGACCACAGGCCTGTCAAACTGCTCAACCCTTTTCCTGCCTGACTGACAGCGACATTTGTGCAGCCTGCCACCTGCGTGCGCTTCATACTCACAAAAGACAAAGGTGATGTATTTGTCTTTCATCCGTGAAAGCTTGCCAGTACAAAAAAAAAAAAAAATGCATGAATAATTTCTGAAGAGGGTGTGTATAAATCCATGCCAATCAAACTGTTTATTACAACTTGGCTCTTTGTGTAGCTTCGGTCATGATTCCTCTCCACGATAATTACATACCCACCAGGTTAATTGCTGTGATCCGGGAGCGCGGTGATAATGCAAAAGAAAAAAAAAAAAAATGAACCTGAAGGTTAGATAATGTCATGTGGAAGACAAAATTAAAGCAGACCAATGTTGTAAACATCCACCATAGGTTGAAAACAGAGAGTATATCACCTAGTAACGCTCAGGAATTAGGAATTACAGATGTGTGAAGCCTAGCTTCACTGAGGACGGGACTTTGGCATGCTAATGTTAAGCTAGCTGTTGGTAAATGGTAAATGGTAAATAAATATTTTTGGTAATATAAGAAATTACCTTTTCTGTTGACTATTTAGTCATTAACTATAACAATGCAGACTTCTGAACAGTTCTAGAGCGAGTTGTCCACTAACCAGAGGGTCGGTGGTTCGATCCCCGGCTCCTCCATGCCCTTGGTCACGATACTGAACTCCAAATTGCCCCTGATGGCTGTTCCATCAGTGTGTGAGAGTGTGTATGGGTGTGATGTATACATGTATGAGCGAACGGGTGAATGTGGCAAGCAGGCTATTTAAAAGCGCTTTGAAATCACCTTTGACCTGTGCGCACACACATTTCCTGCACAATGATGAACACAGTTTGTGCCCTCTCACCTCCAAATAAAGTTGATTAGATAATGTAACTGAATTATGGGCTTGTTTACAACCAGTTTGATCATGACTATGTTGTAGTAAGTTCTACCACACTGCCATATCTCAGCAATTACTTTGCTGAGTACTGCACTGCTATCATGTAGTAATGATGGCCCAAACAACACAAATAACACACCAGTGGTGATAAATGGCAAATTTTCCTTCAAGTACCAACTGTTTAAAAAAAAAAAAAAAGTGGTGGTATTAAGTCTCAGCAATCACCCAAATCAAATTCACCCTTCATATTCCACCTGGGGGCAATACAAGCAGAGGAGGAAGGGATAAAAACCCCCTTAGGCTTGACGTTCACTCGACTCCTGCAGGAGCAGCTGCCTCCACTCCTCTGCTCTCTTTCCAGGACCTCTCTGAATGATTTAAATGCCCCCAGATAAATAATAAAAAAAAAAGATCTGGACGAAGGGAAAGAAAATAGGGCCACGGGGCCAGAGGCAGACCTGACATCTATGGCTGAAGAAATGTTATTCTGTCAAGCTGCACTGCGACAGAGTAGTCTCAAGATGGTGAGGTAAATCAGACATTCACTCATTTGTATGTCTTATGTCACCTGACAGGATCAAGGCTTTTCGTTCCAAAGTAAAACACGAGTTTCTTGGAGGGGTAAGTGAATCATTCATTTTGTTTCCCCATTTTCTCTAATACTTGATATCATCTTCTTTTTTTTTTTTTTTCACAAGGAGTCTACATTTAAGATTCAAAATGCATTCAGGCTGTTGACTCAAATCAGCGTGACAGGCTCTCACATGATGAAGCTCTCAGGAGAATCTGGGTTTAATTAAATATTGATAATTTCAGAGGGAGGTGGCACCAAATAGCTCTTCAAGTCTTTGGGATTTTCTTCTGCTCCTCTGAGTAACCCTTTTGTACGTCCACACCTCACAATTGAACACTACCAGACCATGTCGGGCAAACACACACTAACTTCAATTCACAGCAGCAACATAAAAAACGACCGACAACAGGGAGGACCGGCGTTTTATGAAATTCTCAATTCCACCTTAAGTCGTTTTGTGAATGTTATGCATTACAGACAGAGCAGAAAAAAAAAAGAATCATGGTTAGTGGCTCTATTTTCATCTGGAGACAAGAGCTGAGTGCATTTATCTTTACCCTGAACAAGAATCCATTTTCTCCCATACGCTGCAGTGTATTAGAGACCACCAGGGACAACTTAAGGTCTATATTAGTATTCAGTCCTCTGCTGCCCAAGTGTCACTATGAGGAAGTTATTTAGATCTGCAGGAGCTCATGTAACTGCCATTTATCAGTCTAAGGAAAAAAAAAACTGCACCACTGCTAAGAAATAGAATATCAGTGTCAACGCTCAGCTACGGCTGCTGAAATAGATTATGCTTTAAATCAGAACTGGTCATAGAAGCAGGTCTGTTGTCTGTTCAGATGCTACTGAGAAAAACCTGAGAGGATATTACTTGAAGGTCAGTGTGAGAGGGCTGCGTTCAACTACTGCTAATATTCTCTGAAGACAACTTCATTCAGTGTGTGATCAAAATAATACAGAGACATTGCAAATGAACATAATCCACTGATCTATTCAACTACTTGAAGGTGTTTTTACGGGGCAGAGAATTTCTAATAATCTGTATCAACGCAACACTTAACCTCAGTGGTTCCCAGCCCTTTGACTTGTGACCCCTTAAAACCAAGCAATTTTGCAGACATCCATCACAGGTTATAGCCCTAGTGTGGACGTGTGTTGTTAGCAGTTCAACCAAAGAGTGAATTTTACTTCTAAGATTTTTTCCTTCCATCAGCTTGGTGAGGTAACGATTCACAAAAAACAATCAAAATTGGAGAAGTCAACAAAAAAGTGAAAAAAAAAAATTACTATCCCTTTTACCATCTTGTGACCCCTTATATTTATCTTTTTTTAAAGGTTCTTATCCTCAGGTTTGGAACAACACACCCAAACAAAAGCAGCTTTACGTCTGTTGTGTTGGATTCTTTTTTTTCCCTACGCATAAACAAATCAGACTAAATTTTCAAGCCACACTATTCCAACATACTGTTATGTATTCTTGCATTTTAGATCATAATATCACGACAGCGATGCTAAACAGTATCTGGCTTTGCTCTCATGTTATGTTGGTGTGGTGTTCCTCCAACTGTATGATTATCTTCCCAAAGCTGTTGGATGTCACTGGTATGTGCTGATTAGAATCCCAACCAGCCCTTCTTTTCATTCCTTGTTTCAGTGGAGAGGGAGGGAGGGGTGGGATTTTTTGAATGGAAGCACCACAAAGCATGCCTTTTCATGAGAACGAAACCCCCTTTAGCCAAAGATCTCACCCACCGACCAGGGGAAGCAAAGACCTGGAACTAATTACACTAACGAGTTCACCCAGATCCCTGTAATAGCGAGTGAGTGGAATCATTAACAACCATTTAAAACACGCAGATGGACGTGCACTCGGACACACAGGGCTAAATAAATCAGATCAGAGAGATTGAGGATCTCTTGCTGCCCCTGGCCTGCACTGATCAGATCCATCATTGCTTCTAGAAGAAACATATTGCTATGTGCATGAAACAGCAACTCTCCCTCTGGCATTTCATCACCTCATCTCCTGTCTGTGTGTTTGTACCTGAGCACAGGATCAACACTCACCACAAAAAGCATCATATGCTCAGGGCTCAACAAATGCATATGGAAGGCTTTGAAATTCAACTTCTGAACAGAACAAAAAAAGGAAAAAAAAAAAAAAAAAAAAAGTACCAGAATGGAAGAGGAATGTAAATCTCAGTGCATCATTAGGCTGGAGACATCACGTTGGCATTCAGGCGCTGCCAGCCGGAGAGCCTGTGCCAGCCAAACGCTCTGAGAGAGTCTGACAATAAGCACATAGCAGGCAGCAGCGAAGCAGCTCAGGCTGCAGGGATCTGCCACAGATCGAGGAGCAGGACTCGGTCCAAGGTTAACACCGAAACCGGCTTTTTTTTATGCACCTATATGGCCTATAGAAGATAACAATAACAGGGTTGTAAACAAAGACTGATGGAGAGCCTAATGGACAGCAGCACTCCCCTGTGGGACAGAGCTGAGGAAAAGTGGACAGCTGGAGACAGAGCAAACAACAGTGTGTCTGCTGCAGACAGGAGCATCAATCCAGAAATGATCCAGCCATGCATTTAGTTGCAGGATCTCTCATTGTGACAACTTAAAAGGTCATAGAAAACAAGCAGCAGCAGCAGCCTATTGCTTTAACAGCTATCCTCCCAATGACGTACATGCAGCTAAGTATAGTCCGAGAACTCCCCACAATTTTGGTCTCTTCACTCCAGATTTCTGCAGATTCTTTTTTTTTTTTCCGCACAGCTCACTGCTATGAAATGAGAGGGATACAAAAGCTGGCACACACAATGCGCAGCAGTGGGAACTCCTGTAGTTTGATAACAACCACAGCGCGCATCCACACCCGTGTGTGTGTGTGTGTGCGTGCGTGTGTGTGTCTGCTGACCTAAATGTGCTTCTCACACAAGCATCTGTAACGAGGCTTCCCAGCAGAATCCAGCCGTCACTGCCCCATGTTTGCAACAGTAACCAAAACCTGAATCTAGAGCAGCACATAGTTTGTTATGTAACATTTTACAGAGGAAAGTCAATCAGCCCATATGTATATGTATATGTATATGTATATGTATATATATATATGTATATATATATGTATATATGGACTCACCTTAAAGGGTAAAGGCTGGTGTTCACCGCGACTTGTTGGGGACTTTATCCTTTCTGTCTCAAGCCCGGTCGTCCAGCATGGCAGGACTTTGCTGGAAATGAAGAGTGTGCGCCCTTTACTCGCCCCGCAGAGAGATGAATGGCACAGCAGTTTATTATTCCTTCCCCCTCACAGTACCACGGAGCAAATGTTCAGTCGGGAGCAGCTTCTCTCTCTCCAGCAGGACTGGAGACTTCTCCAAGAGCCGCGGACAGCTCCGGTGCTGAAATCTGAATTTTTTTTCTTTTCTTTTTTTTTTTTTTCCTTTCCACCCTCCTTCCTCCCTGAGCTACTCCCTCGGCATCGGAGGAGACATGCAGTAAGCTGAGGCAGGAGGAGACCTTGGTGCGGACGAACAGACAGCCAGCCACTGAAGTTCAATCACGGATTTATGACCGTCATATTTGCTGCCCCCTCCCCTCTCCCAAGATCCCCGGGAGTTAGTGTGTGCGTCAGGTTAATAACTTGTGCGCTCCTTTTAGTCTTGAACCAAGCGTCTTGATTGGCCAGGACCCTACAGTTCATCCAAAGAATGACGTTAGGAGAGATGCTCTCCTCATCAGCCAATTATTACACGGAGAAATTTAAAACGTAATATAGAGGGGGTTCAGTTGGAGAATGAGTAGCTTGAAGGTTTGAATCCCATTTGAATCCCATTTTGGCATTAAGAGGCGGAGAGGAGAGGAGAGGAGAGCAGAGGAGAGGAGAGGAGAGGGTATGTTTACAAGGCAAGCCTGGAGTCAGAATTTTGATTTAGCAGATGTGTGACATGAAGGCATCATATGCATGTAGAGCTGCGTCTGCACACTGCAGATTAAATATGGGCCACTGCTGTAATGCAGACCAGGATAAATCTATCTATCATAAAAGCCAGATATAACTGATTCCAACTTTTTTTTTAATTATTTGCTGAATGATCCACACCGCAATAAGCAACTCATCATATATGAGTTTAGAAAACAGCTTATTGTTGTCAAATGTTTTCCACAACTTTTATTTGGAAATTGCATCAATCTCCAAACAACTTCCTGTTAAGCCCAGAAAAACCTCCTCATCAGTGAGGCATCCTCCTATTATGTGATTAAAATGACCAGTGAAATAAGGCTACATTTAGTTCAGGCAGAGCAATCAATGGCTATTTATGCTAACCATGGCTATTTTATCCTTAATGGACCATATTTATCTTTGAATGTGAAAGCACTTCCACTCACCAAGATGACAGCAGATAGGATGCATTAAACATCTGAATTATTTTTGATTTGACAATCACTATTATTATAACCTTTTTTTTCCAAATGGCCAGATCAGAATTAGTCTTTTTACACACATATTTTTTGACATTTGTTAACATTATCACTTTATAGTGAGTTAAACATGCCCAACACTCATATACTATATGCAGGGGTTGTAATTAAATATTATTTTAATTATAGATTATAGATTTTAATGATGATTATGCCCATCACAATTTCCCAGAGCCCAAAGTGACATCTTCAACTTGCTTGTTATGTCCAACCAACAGTTCAAAACTCACAGACATGCACTTTACGATATAAAGCAGACAAAAAACAGCAAAACCTGTCATTCAAAGAGGCAAATGTTTGATACTTACTTAATTGTTCAAGCTATTTATGAAGAAAAAATACCAAAGTATGTATGTCTCAAATAAGTGTAACAGTAAAGGTGGTGGTTTCATTGGCTAAATTGCACATACACTGTACACACTGGATTTGCAAGAAAACTGAAAAAAAAACTATAATGCAACAGAAAAACAAACAGAAAAACACCCCCAGAAATTTATCAAAAAAGGAGCCCACCCAGAGAATTCAGATGAACGTCCAAGAAGTCTTCCCAGGCTACGGGGCTGTAACCTCATGTGGTTCCTTCCAGTGTCGGTCTCACATGACACTGATTTACATAATAGTGACAGTTTGTACAGAAAAAATAATAATCCTCTACATGAAGAAGAGTAGAACCTGAAATCCATCTATGTCAGCATGTTTTAATACGTTCATGTTTAAATAATGGAAAATCCATCCACACAGTATATTACAGGAAAAATAAATTGCTGCTTGCACATAAAAATCCAAGCACAATTATATACAGTACCTAGATAAAATACATGTATATATGTGGCATCTGACAGTGGTAAGAAATTGAGTCAATATCATCACAGCCGTCTGAAAAGGCAGCTTCTCCAGAGCCTGGCCACAGCAGGGTGTATGGTTAATGTATGAACAACTCTATGCACCATGTGCCACTTGTTCCACGGCCTGCCGGTTCAAATGGAGGCCCATGCATTATTGATGAGGATGTAAGTGCACACTGACCCGTGGGTCTTGAGGTGCTTGGCCTCTTTTCTCAGCGGGAGGGCAGAGGAAGAAATGGTCATCTGGAGAGTAAGTCACAGAGGGAGACCTGACACCACCACCTCACGGTCACCTCGCTTTACAAAGCATATAGGATATGGATTTTTTTCTTCTCTCGTGTTGGTTACATTGTGTTAGGCTACTACAGACATTAACAGAAAAGATGTAACCTTGAGAAATGTGTGAAATATAATGATGGCTTTTCTTTTCATTTATAGTGTGAATATGTGTTCCTGGCCTTTTCCTTTCACACAGGAAGCACAATTTTTTCTCTTCGTTTATGTTAAAATCAAAAACCTTTGGCGTGTACTTCAGCTAAAGTCTTTAGAAGAAGAGAAAATGGTAGTACAGCTCACTATTTAAACTTTGCTTCTTTTTTTTAAAAGACAGAAACTGGCTCTAAGTGAAGGGAAAAGGGCAAAGGAAAAGCCAAGCTGGGAACATTTTTAAAAGAAGAATTAGGCTGGGAAAGCAAATAGCAGTGGCTTCAGTTCCCCTTTCTGAATAGCTGTAATGGTCTCAGTGGAGCAGTCTGTCACTATTAACAGTCCATTCACAGTCCGGTTGCATTCTTAATAGCATTCCCATGGATTTGGAGTTGGATTTTGGAGCGCTGCAATCACCGCCTTTTCAGCACCGAATTACTTTTCCTGTGGAATGAGAACAATGGACCTGATGGCACCTGATTGGCTCATTTTGAGTGACCGGTAATTGTACCTTTCTCTTTATTTTCTGCCACTTGCTCCGTTTCTGTGGCGAAGGAACTTCAGCGCAAAAGCGCCAATTATAGAAATGACCTCTGATTCAGTGGTCTTCAATAGTCACGTTATTAATCTCCCATCACATCTATAGGTCGAACATGGTGGAAGCACTGCAGGGAATATTTTGGCAATATGGAATATTATATTAATATATAAGCTTCTGTAAAGTTCCTGAAAGCAATTCTGCATAACTATAAGTTCATTTATATGAATCAGAAACAATAGAAAATAAGAAATGAATGCAGAAAAAAAGCCTTCACACTTATGTTTAAATTCAAATTATCACATATAAATCTACTGTAAACATCAGCCCATCTCATGATTCACTCACCATTCTTAGGTTTCTCTCTTTCTCTGTATGTTTAGCTTCTCATCCAATATACGTAGGTTTGTATACACTAGTCTTTTATTTTATTCCAAGTACTTCTGTTTCCTTCTGTCTTCTCATGGATTATTCATGAATTATTGTCAGTTTGTGCATACACCATGTACACATCCTGCTGTATTTTCTTCACAGAATTACCAGTGTCTCGCTGTATTCACAAAGTCGTCTTTGTCTTTCAGACTCATGGAAAACCTTCATGGTTTTCCACACAATGTGTGGCTTAGTTGGTTCTCACACATTCTCTTGGATCATGAGCCTTGGCATGAAAGGGTTTGAATATCTTACCGGACACTGCAGGAACAAACATCATTTTATTCCTTTTGGTCAGACGCCTGAAGAGAATATAGAAAGTACTCCAAGTGCTTTTCATGTGATTCTCGACACGTTCTTCTTGCTGATGAAAAAAACAGGAGGATTGCGGTGATCTTGTCCAAGCACTGCTTTGGTTCGCATTAATTTCCTGAGATCATCAATCATATTCAATGTGTGTATTAGTTTTGCAAGTTATAGCAACCATGTATATCACTTAAGACGGCTATATGGGAAGTATACAAAACAGGAACAGCAGTAGCTTGTAAAAATGTTCTGTACTGTACACACTGTTTTATTGGATATGAACATATATGCATGAAACATAAAATTTGAAAAATAAAGTATGAAAATACGATCAATAAAGCATAAATCTGTCTCGTTTGTCTAAGTATCTAAAGTAAGCACCCAGAGTATTATAAATATGAAATAACACTTACATTTTTTCTTACCTTACCTTACCCATGATACAAGAACAATGCTGTTTCTTTATTTCCATGTCTTCCTAAACCAGCTTCAGCCTCAGTCTCTCAGCCCAATATAATGTATGCAGCCATTAAGTGTTAATTAACTACGGACAGGGTTCTCGTTACAAATAGTAATGTTAAACATTTAGCCGTTGAAGGCTTTTACAAAGTTGTCATTTCAGCCAATAAAATCATTGGTTGCAATCTAGAAGTGTGACTTGCCGCCATTATCATTGTAAACTGCATGCGCCATAAGAGAACAGAGAGCTTGACAAGTGTAGCAAAATTAACTGAGGGGGCAAAGAGTCATTTAAATTCATACATCATTACAGGTTTCTCCTCTCTCCCCTTCTCTTTTATAGTTCCAATCATCATACAGTACATTGTTAGAAAATGATGTGTATTCATCACTTTCAAAGAGTTTTTATCGCTTTCACTTCTGGACTGAGTCTTTTGTTGTTCAGCTCACATCGCTGAAAGCAACAAACACAGAAAGTCAAAGGTGCAGAGGTCAAACACTCTTATTACCCAGAGGGAGTGGGAACAGCTGCGACGGCAAAATTAAGGTGAAGTTGCTTTCCTTGTGGGAATGATAAGGAAAGTGACATTATCGAAACATTTATTCAAAAGTATATAGAAATCTCTTGACTGGAGGGGTTTAGGATCAGCCAGAGTGAAGGCTGAGGATGAAACTCAGCTTTGTTTGATGTTTAATCATTATCAGATTAGCTGGAGGATGACTCAGCCTTGCATCTGAACACAGTGTGGATTTGAAAAAGAAAGATGGAAAGATGTTTCAGACCTTCACTATAGATGGGAAACATAATCAAATTTCTTTAATATTATGATTTAATAAAAATTAAATAATAATGATGCTACGGAATATTTCTTTTTCATTCAGAAATCTATGTTT